ATCATTCAATGCCCAATGGAAAAGAAAGACGTCGTAACTAGAGCATCACTGGCATGAAAACTTCGCTGGCTACGTCGATGATGATGATGATGTCACTTCGATTTTGTAAACAGCAGACGACAGTAAGATCGAGCTAACCTTGTAAACTGGGCGCCAGATATGTCTGCGATAATTCCTCAGCACCTACAGCAAACATCTATGATGGGATTCCCCGCATCGTGTTAGCATTTGAATGTAGTTCAGATAGAGAGCTGGCAATGACTATTTCTGTAACTCTACAGATGCGTTTTTAGATTGAGTTCGTTTTGTTGTTGTTGTTGTCGTTGTTGTTGTTATCGTTATCGTCGTCGTTGTTGTTGTCGTTGTTGTTGTTATCGTTATCGTCGTTGTTGTTGTCGTCGTTGTTGTTGTTGTTGTTGAGCTTACTGCCTTATCTGTCTCTGTTCTACTTATTATCACCCTACATGCCTGTCTCTCTGCTTGTCTGTCTGTCTCTCTGCTTGTCTGCCTGTCTATCTTTCTGCTTGTCTGCCTGTCTATCTTTCTGCTTTTCTGTCTGTCTGCCTCTCTGCTTGTCTGTCTGTCTTTCTGCTTGTCTGTCTGTCTCTCTGCTTGTCTGTCTCTTTGCTTGACTGTTTGTTTCTCTGCTTGTATATCTGTTTCTCTGCTTGTCTGTCTGTCTATATACACGACTATGTGTGGGTGTTTTCTGTCTTTGCCGATTCCCCCCCCCCTTTTTTTTTCCGTTTCCCACACCTGTTTGTCCTTGAAGTTTCTTTTATCAATATGTGCTCCCGTCCACTCTCTTCGCTCCCTCTTTTCTCTAAATGTTTACATCCATCCAACTACTCCAACTATTTCCCCCCCCCCCCCCCTTTCTTCCCCCCCCCCCCGTGTCTTTCATTCAGCCAGCTCACAAACGTCAAAGATATTTTCCTACAAGAAAAACAAAACGACCCACGGGCACATACTTAACACTAAAACTCTGCAATTATCTAACGCTGTCACAGGGGCTAGCCAAAACACGCCCACAAAATGACGCTTGGGAGTCGAGAAATAGGTTTTATCTCCCCTTGCCCCTTTCCAAGATACTGGACAGACAGAAGGGTCGGACTTAATCTGCAGGCTACACTGTCATCCAGCCTCTTCCTGTTATTCCAATCCTCAATCCTTGTTTAGGTCCGATGTATTTTATAATTCTTGTGTTAGTTATTCAATCTACGCTTGGTTAATACACATTACTGTAACCTACGGTGTCATTTCAATGGTTTAGGACCAATTATGTCCGTATTACAGTGATTAGTGAGGACTACCATCACAGCACTCCAGACAGATCGATATGTGCTCCGATCTCCTCCTCAGCAGCTCCACAGGAGTAAAATGACTGATCATGCCCGTCCTGTGCTGAATAACAAGATGCCATGTGCCTTTGGTGAAATGTTCGTATCTGAATACACCAGGGTGCACCTCCATGTTCACCAGCCTGGACAATGATATTTGAGTCCGGCTTGTTGACTTGATCTTCTCAATGGCATTTTAATAACATCACTCCTGTCCAGTGCTGGGCCAGTAGTGATAACCGCATCGGCTGCCAGATAATCTGCAAGTGCCTTGAAAACCCGCATAGCCCGGCACAAAGATAAAGGTTAGGGAGTTAATCGTGATAATATTTAATTATACTGTAAACAAAAAACAAAAACGCATAGCTACCAAAAGGAACATACAATTTTGACATTCTGCATCTTTTTAATTCAATAAGTGAAATTACTCAAATTTCACAAAAGAATACCTTAGGGTTCCAACAATCAATCTATACGTCAGGGTCACGATAATTTGTAGGCGTACGACCTTTCCCGTTAGTATGATGTGTGGCCTCATCTTGCGTGGATCAGTGACTGTCATCTCCTGGGCACGGATGCGATCACATGTCTGATGTGGGCTGTGGGATGGCTGCCCGCTCTTCTTGAAGTGCATGGAACAGATCACGGACATTGGCTGGAGCAACGTCTCGGCGACACACACGTCTTTGTAGCTCATCCCACAGGTGCTCAATCGGCCTCATGTCTGCAGACAGGGATGGCCAGGGAAGGGTTTGAATGTTATTAGCAGCTAGGAACTGCGTGGCCAAGCATGCAGAATGGGGTCTAGCGTTGTTATGTTGAAAAATATATCTGTTGGCATTTCAAAATGTAAGGACATGTTGTCGAAGAATGTCAATGACGTATCGTTGCGCAATATAGTTCCTTCAATATACACCAATTGACTCCTTTCGTTGTAAGTGATCATTTTTCACACCATTACGCTTCCACCACCGGGCAGCAGAGCTTCATCAACACGATTGTAGGCTAAACCTTCATCGTGACTTTATCGCGACGCTGCAACAAAAGAAAGATTCGTCACTGAACCAGACACGTCTCCATTGATTGTCACCTGCCCAGAGACGACGTTGGCTGACCCAAAGAAGTTGTTTTAGCAGTGGCGATGCATAACGTTATAGGTCTGTTCAGAACAGTTTAATCAGACATATGACGTCCTGAAGACAATGCCTGCGCAGTTGAGGAAGCTGTTATAAACCTGTCTCTGAGGTGACGACGCCGAATAAAGCGATTCTCCGCTGCTGTTGCCACTCTGGGTCGTCCACTGTGATGTCGGTCTTTAAGTGAATAACTGGCTTGGAACCGGTGCTAAAGTCGACTGATGGTACTCTGATGCACGTTTAGATGCCTTTGACTTTCTCCTGCCTGCAATCGGCCAATAGCAATATTCCTTAAATTTATCGACACAGGCGCCATTCGTGACTGTTTGAAAATGAACTGAATGTTTTGGTGTAGCGTTTTCCTTTTATAGAGTTTCAATTGCACTGTCAGTGCAAATAGTGTTCACCCCAAACTGTGTTGTTTTCTCGTGCGAGCATCACGAGCTATGCTTACAAATACGGTCGTAATCACAACTGACTACTGCATTGTAACGATTACCCCCCCCCCCCCCCCCCCCAAAAATACGCAATTCGCACCCACATGTCCACTAGACACGGTAAACAACATTTGATTTTGCTTCTCACATAACCGAGTACAATACTGTATTTACAAACTAATAAAAACGCGCCATCGGATAACTATGCGGTTTGGGGGGGGGGGGGGGGGGGGGGGGGGGGAGTGGAACGGGAAATTACCAGTATATATAGTTCCGAATTCGAGGCTAATGGAGACACATATTTGGGTGCCTAGTTGGTCATGCGTTTTAGTACACTTGTTTTCCTAGTTGGTCATGCGTTTTAGTACACTTGTTTCTGAAGCAAGGCGCTGTCATCGTTTTAAGATGACAAGTTCGATTACGGGGACAGTAACTACAGCTTCCCAGTGGTATACTATCTTGAACTATATTGTAAACTTCTATCTTTGTACCTCTCTCTATGAGTGCCGAACAATACATGTTAAAATATATAATTTTATACGGCCTCAAGGGTCCCCATTTGTTAACATCTTTTCAATCCCCCCCCCCCCACCCTCCTCATCTCTCTTTCTCTCTCTCCCTCTGTGCTGTGTGTGTGTGTGTGTGTGTGTGAGCTGCCCTGTGTTGGGAGCTGCAGGACAGCAATATCTCACGCTAACCTGACCATCAGAAGATCTTGGATTCAAATTCGCCACTCCCCGTGTGGGGTCTGATGCATATTAGACAACATAAAAATCGAAAGCTATCGTTATCCTGTCGAGAAACGAGCTGCTAATCTGCTAACGAAGACACCTCGTTGGCAGGCTGTCTAGTTGGTCTTGCATCTAAGTATACTTGTTTCTGCAGCGGGGTGCTGTCATCATTGAAAGGTGACAGGTCCAATTCCCGGCATAGTAACTATAGTTTTCCATTTTTATATAGTGTGTCTTTCTATCTTTCTATTTCCTTATAAGAGTGCCCATCAATACACTGTTTATTATACATAATGTTTCTACGGTCTCAAGGTTTTATTATCAGTTTATCTCTGTGTATTTAAGCCGCATCAACTATACCGCCAAATACATTATACCACCACGCCTTCTATTTTTTTTTTAACTCAGAAGAAAGACTTTGACTTCCGATTTGAATTCTAACAATCGTGACGGAACAGTTCCTTTCTATAACTGACCTAATATGAAAAGCAGAACACTGTGTGTATCTTGAAAGTCATCAGAAAGAGTATGAACAAAAGTCTTGTGTTAAATGAGCTTGATTTCACGAAATTTACCACTTTTATATCTAATTTTAACGCATCGTTCAGATCCCGCAGCATAGCTTTGGCTGCCAATCTGTGAATTACACGATGAGTTCCCAGAACCAGAACTTGGAGCACCATCTGTACAAGCATGCACGACTTTTCCCCATGATTTTAAAACTTCTTTTGGAAAAAGTATCAATGATCAAAACACACAAACACCAAAAGCCCTAAAATATTTTTTTTTAGAAAAAAGCGGGGGGGGGGGGGGGGGGGGGGGGGGGGTTGCTCAAGGTTCCTGACCCACACGTTTTACAACTCCTTTAGAATGGGTTTAAGCAGGGACAGTTAATGTAACTTGTATTACGTACCATATTAAAACAATCAAGACAGTATGATAACAAAGAGAAAATGGAAATGGCTTGGCCACATTATGAGAATGAATCCTGATACAACTCCCAAAACAGCTCTCACGCGGACACCAGAGGGAAAGAGAAAGAAGGGGCGCCCAAAAACAACATGGAGACGAATGATGGGAAGTGAACTGGGCATCTCTGACATGGAAAACTACATTAAAGATTGCACAGGACAGGAAAGCATGGAAAGTCCTTTCTGGAGCCTCATGTGTCACCAGGCATAAAGAGAACACAATATTAAAACTATAATTGGATACAAACAACAGCATATCAATACATGACATGTGTGACACATACAACATCACATTAATGTTTCGCGGGATTCTGACACACACAAGAGCACATCAATACATCACGTGTTTGACATTCATACAAGAGGACCAGACATGAACACTTACCGCTACAATCATAAGGAAGTTGTCCAGAAATCCAAATCCAATGAAAGGAAACATCTGAATTAGCATAACTGGGGAGTTTTCAAACATACACATTTTTGTTAGTTGTAAGATGGTGGGTCAGACAAGTGGTAGCTATCATACCCTCAGTAATTACCTTACGGTCTTTTTGGGTTTGGGATGTACGTGTGGTATTATTATCATTTCTTCCTTCCTTTATCTTTACTTCTTCTTTGTTCTTATTCGTTGTTCTTCGGCTCTTGATTCCCCAGTGGAACAAATGCTCTCAAACAACTGAAAAACCAGGCCAAAGACTTGGGTGACATTGTCTGATCAAGTCACATCCCATCCTATAGTCCTTACGACCATCATTAGAACATGTATCTTACTGTACCGGGTTCACAATATCATCATTAGATTATTACTATATTGTACCATGTTCTTATCATCATCATTTTTAGATAAATTTGTCAAACGATGAGCCCGAAAGTGATCTGATCATGACACTCCACTGCCATATGTTCTTATCATTATCATTCAATGAAATCAATCCGATCACTAGTGCTACTACTGTCTGATTACTTCCCTCTAATATATGATATATCCTGTTCCCAGCTATCCTTCCGCCCTTAGCCTTGGTTGGCAGCTGGTCTAGGAGGGTAGCTCCGATAGGCTGACAGAGCATTGTTCTTCTGATTCAGCAGCTTCTGTAGCCTGCCTTGTTTCAAACACATTAGTGTTTTTGGAGTAAACAAGGAGACGGGATAGTATCACATGGGAAATACACGGTGTCTACAATATTTCCCAGGCTTTGTGCTACGAGGAGGAGAAACTTCATCCCCGGACTTAATTAGCTGTGATTCTATGTCTCTATGTAAGACAATAAAATACTATCCCATGCTCATTCAGCATGCTGAGAACGTAACAAGTTATAATTAGGGCAACCTGTAAACGCTACACCATGTGTCCTGGAGGCAAGAGGGGGGTGAGAAATAGTTCACTGCCTCATTTTTTGACCAAACAAGCCTGCCTACTATTGTAAATATTTCATAAAGCCAGTCATTGTCTCTCTTTGTTGAGGTGATATCTTCTCTGTTCAAATTAATCCGTTATCCATCATTTAATAGCATCCACACAGAATATAACAAAATACATGTAATGTTTCTGCGTTAGCAACAACAACAAAAATGCTGGCCGGATTGATTTATTATCAACATTTCTATTGTCCCCCTTGAGATTTCTCCAATGGAGGTATCTTGGTTAGTTTCAAATTTCATGGATGCCATGAACCCAAGCCTCCTATGGCCCATGCATCCATTTAACTGTTATCATTCTTGGTTTTATCTTCTGCTGTAGAAAACAACTGTTATGTCATCATTCATGTTTGTATCTCTTGCAGCAAACAGTTACTGTATAATGCAGTGTATGAGTTGAATTCTCAAGCCTAAAATGTCTTTCCAAAACTTGGTGTCATCTTATAGGTTGGTTTAAAATACAAACCTTTACCACATAGCTGTAAACAAGTGACACAGCAGCAATCCTAACAATCACTGTATACTATTTATAGTACCTCCAACAAACTAACCCAAAAATATATAATTAAAACTTGTGACAGGTGAAAATATTTGGCACAGAAACAAAAAAATGTTTAGGAGTTGACCTACATAGTAGGTTTTAAGGTAAATTTGTAGCCTGGTCGACTTTTACACTGCAGTTTGCAGTATGTTGTTACTGCAGACAATAGCTAGGCTGCAATATCTGCATCTTTCATCCAATTTCAGCAAACTTTAATTAGTCACCCTTTATTACATGGTTTTAGAAGCCACAGAACCCACATAAGGAAGAACTGGTCATAAAGTTGTGACCTAGTACATGGGAATTTCCTAAAAACTTTAGATCAGAATGCAGTGTTTGCAATGGGAATATCACCAGTCTAGGTTAGCTGTGTATCCTTTACAGGATGTTGCAGAACCAACCCCAACAGCCCCTGGCTGTTGTGTGATTTTTCTAGGTAAATTTACGTCCAGTAGTTTGCCACTGCTTTCTGGACGGTCAGCTTTCTTGATACTACTATCGAAACAAACGCAAGGCACATGGCCCGCAGCTGGGATCAAACACGGCATCCCGGCATTTCAAAGCGTTCGCATCGATTTAGCCACAGAGCCGACATCACCAGTCTACTCATCCAAATAACCTGCAAGTTTTCATGGCCAATTCCAGACCTCCTAAGCTGCCGTCTATAATTTTGTGCTCTTAAATTCTCAGCTTCAATGACAAATGCATCCATCAATGTCATCATCAATGAGAACAAAAAGGCAATAAGAGCCATTTTATTACGCTTCTACCAGGGGCATCATAAATGTTCAATCACTGGAGCTGGGGTGCCAGTGCGCCTCTCTCCACTGAAAACAAAACTGGGAAAGAGCTGAACTCCCCACCACCCCCACCTCCAAAATGTGTGTGTTTTTTTAATAAGGAAGGGGGGGGGTGGAGGGTAAGCCCTTCCATCCAATGGATACAGCTTGATACACAATGCAAACTTTATTGACTGGCACTTATAAACGTAGAAAGGGGGGGGGGGGGGGGGGGGGGGGGGGGGGGGGAGAAAACACAGTAGGACATTTTTTTCTTCTTCTGAGCATTCACCGGCTGTAAAATTCAGTTGTTTGACCATTTCTGGACCTTCATCTTGTTCCAGGACTTAAGTGTTGTGTGCAAATCTGTTTACAGATCTAGCTTTTTTGTGTGCAGACTGTTGGTTCCTTGCTTCTTAGGAGATGAGCTCCGACTTTGAAGGAAATATCAATCCTATCTATGCTGACCAGGTCCCTGGCTGGGACCCTAATTCTAGGATGACTGGGAAGAGCTGTAGGTAGATCCTGACTATTTCGTTCCGTTGCTTTGCTCATTACCAACAACAAAATTGTCACGTTGAACCAGCATCCCAAAAGAGGGAGTTTTAGGTTATAATTGTGACTAGGTTATGTGCACCACATAAAATGGCTTAGCACTGCACGCCACTAAGAGCCATGAAAAGGACGCCTGCGGTGTTGATGCGACCAAACTAGACAGACCTAAATAATACTGTCCCAACTGGAAACGAAGTCATCTACTGGCCAGCCAACTATTCTTGTTTTCCCTAAAATGGGGCCCCGTAACCCACATGGGATCCATCTATAAATTACTCTCTCCTCAACATCTGTGAGTGCTAACCAATAATATCAATTTGTTTATCCTATATAAATCCCCTCTGTGTTGTTTCCACGAAGAAGTTTGGCTGCAGTGGATGCATGTATTCACCAGTTTTTGGCAGGATTTTTTCTAGAAAAATAGGTACTGGTAAAAAGGTAAAGTTGGAAGACGTGAACCAGCATCATTGCACACAGTTATAAACCATAAGTGCTCTGCCACCAGTAAGGTCAACTGATAAGGAACTGTCCGCATGCAACTCCCTAGCTACAGCCAACGTTCCTCCATTCATCCTAGACTGTTAACTCTGGTACCCATTACCCAGAGACTGGGTGAACCCTGGGAACTGCACGTTTTCGAACACCAGCCGTAGGCTCCAGCCAGTCTCAGTTGGATTTGAAAGCAATTCTCCTACTGACTGCGCTAACACGGTCAGCGCGGAATAGGTACTGGTCCCAGACAGTGTCTAAAAGGGTCTGGTACTCACTGCAATGTGTCTATTACAGTAGCGCTGACAAAAGATGCCTTAAAAAAGTGCCAGTACTGAGTACTTCCAGGGGAAAAAACAGCTCCAGCTTTTGGAAATATTCTGTGATGAGGCCCCAAGTTGTTCCATAATACTAGCCTTTTTCTAAGCTGCCCACAGTGGACATCAATTCTGGAACCTCAAGGATGTTAACAAATGTTTGCCAACTTCCTAAGCACTGAGCAATTTATCATGCCATTCTTTTACAATTCTCCACAGCAAATATTTCTTCAATAATTGTTTCTCCACTGATACCCCAAATGGTTTAATTCCTCCCACTGATTTGCGCAACACATAAGCATTTGAATAAATGTTCCCAGTGTAGAATCCATGGCTTTATTTTTGAAGGTAAAAAACAGACCCGCTGCCCTTCAAAAAGTAATATGTAAAAATTAAGGACCTGCTGGGCCCAAAAGACTACTTCAAGTCACAAACCAAGAAACTCTAGACAGTATGATAACCAAGAGAAGACGGAAATAGCTTGGCCACGTTATGAGAATGAATCCTGATACACCTGCCAAAACAGCTCTCACATGGACACCAGACGGAAAGATAAAGAAGGGGTCTACTTAAAACAACATGGAGACGAACGATGGAAAGTGATTTGAGTGCAGCATCTCTGACATGGAAAACTGCACTGAAGATTGCACAGGATAGGAAGGCACGGAAAGTCCTCTCTGAAGCCTCATGTGCCACTAGGCATAAAGAGAACTGATGGTGATGATGACTGATAGGCCCAAAAGGTGCATATATAACCTAGCTGTAAACCACAACACAACATGCCAACTGCCCATTTAAGGCCGAAAGGAGAAGAATACATTTTTACATTCGATGCAGGAATCCAAATAAAAACATGAATTTGGCAAAAACATTAAAATATTCTAAGAAAAATAACAATCTTTAAACAACAGTAAGAGAATAACAATACAGTAAATAGAAGTTCCTCAACACTTACCTATTTTTAACTGCTGGCGTGTGGGCGGTTCATCTGCTATGTCTGAAATACAAAAATATCAAGGTGTGATGAATGAGATTATATATATAACAGAAATAATCAAGATGTGATAAAAAAGACTGACAAGCTAGCAATATCATTAGATAAATTAGAATAATATTTTAAGAAGTCTGGTGAATCTTAGAACTGTACCGGGCAGGGGGAGGAAAAAAACCACACAAAGATATATTTTCCATAAATATAATATTCTGGGTGCATTAAAATGGTTAATACCCTGCTGAAAATTATTTCTGAAGAAACGGTTATGGGTTAACATGTAAAAGAAAGACACAGTTTAATATGGAAGGTAAAGTCAAGAGGCGAACAGGAAAGGTAGACTAGAAATATGGTATGAGAAAAAAAAAAACAAATATGGAAAAATATTTTAAAATATGCACTGGAAAAACACACACACACATATATATATATATATATATATATATATACACCAAAAAAAAAAAGGTTTGGCCAAAAAAAAATAACTGAAAAGATAGACGGGAATGATAGATTACAAATAGATTAGGAAAGTGAACTGAAAATATGGACTAATCAGATAGGCTCAGGTTTGGTGTTGAATGGATACAAACAACAGAAATATTGCCAGTCAACTCTTCTGAAGATATGCCAGTCAACTCTTCTGAAGATATGCCAGTCAACTCTTCTTAAGATATGCCAGTCAACTCTTCTGGGTATGGTGAACATGGAGATGCAGAGATAGCTGCTGCACTAGAGGAAGAAGCATGAATGGGTTGGACCGGCGTGCTAGGATGTCAACATGGATAACAAGTAACTTGTAACTAGATAGATTAAATGAAAAGACAGACAAGGAAACACAGATTGATAAGAAAAAGTTATAAAAAAAACAGGAAAAATGGAATTGAAAGATGATTTATTGAAAAAAATAAGCAAATGAACAAGCAAAATATTTCACCTTACAAGACATAACACTTATTTTTTTTTAAACTATACAAGGAGAATAGCTGAAAGTGGGTAAACAAGAGGTTAACAGCAAAATAAGTGACAGTATATCATCAGGAGATGGATGAACAGCAGTCTAAGAAAAGAGCTCAACCAGGACGAGAGAGACAGAGAGTGTTGGAAATAAACTAGTCAATTTTTATTGAAGAAATAAAGCTGATTGAAAGATCAGTCTCAATCAATCAGGTGCCATTATTACAATGAAGACTGGCTGCAATGGATCTCTAACAGACAGACATTTCTCTTGTTGTCACACTCTCTCAGACTGCTGTTCATCCACAATTTGTATCAATGTCTACTTCTTGATCTCTCACATATGACCTTTCCCTTCCGTAAATATTTTAAAAGAGTGTTATGTCCCTCAAAATGGTCAAAAATATTTCACTTATCTCTCTCTTTAACACATCTTTAAAAACTCTTTTCTTATTTCAAGTCTCTTTAGTACGTCTGTATTTAACTGGTTTTGTTTCCTACTCTTCTGCTGAATTCTGAAGACAAGAGGATAACCTATCTCACTATTATTCTAGTATTTGTCATATTTAATGCTGGCGTGCCATCAAACATACCTACTGTTTTATCAAGGCATTTTTCTAATCCATAATCACGTTTCAATGGACTGGTTCTATAATTAAGTCTGCAGCTCCTGTTCACTTACAGACAGTGTGAAAACAATGTTATTATTAACTAAACCAAAGTATTGATTCTCTGCTAGAATTCTGCCTTGACATATTGCAGACGTCAGCATTACTATCATCATCTTGTGCCCTTGCCAGATGGCAAATTTGCTCTTTTTTTCACAGATTTCTGCATTAACTTTTTTTAAATTTATATTTAATCTGGTTGCAGATCCTCCTCACAGTGTAGCAAATGAACTTTAGCATTTATTGATTGTTGTGTGGTTTTACTAGGCAATGTAACATTCAGTAGTTCTGTGTTTCAACACATTGATACATAGGAATCATTTATATTGACAGTAAAAAGACACCAAATTCAGCGGTGTGGTAATGTAATAATATCTACTGGCCTTTCTAAACCTACACTACAGGACCTTGTACAAGGGAACTGGTAATTAAGCAGATCAGGAAAGACCAGAATCCAAAACATGTGACATCCAGATATGGAAAGACCTGATCAATTAGTTACATATAACTCTGTGACCCAACAACAGACGGTATTATGGAACTACATGGACAGAGACGGAGAGAATCAACAAACAAATTTTATTTTCAAAGGGTCACAAATTGGGCACCCAGGCCTGTTTTACATTCAGTCCTTCCAAACACCCATCTTTCACACAGCGATTGTATTTTGTCAATATTGCATGTTACATTCAGATAACAACATGCAGTATATGAATATCAGGAAAAAACACAAAAGTGTAGATGGTAAATTGACACCCCCCCCCCCCCCAACACACACACGCATGCACATACACACGGGGGGAGAGAAATATATTACTATATCACCAGAGTCCCCAAGTGAGTTCTGGGGGTCCCATTTTTGCAAGGAAAAGAATCAGCTCTCAGCTTTCAAACAAAAATGTCAAAGAAGTTAACTCTTTCATTCCCAAGCAGTACATTATGTGTGACTAACACATTCTCATGAAACCTATATATTAGGCAATATTTTCTGTTACTTTGTGCATTTGGTGACATAGTACTACATAAATCTGGCATTACCCCTACACCCTTTTTTTCTAACTAAAAATTTTTCCTAGTGGCTATTCCTCTCCTTAAACAACTGCTGTGACAAGTGTTAAAGTCACGATGAAACTGGATGCGTTGAGCTGAAAGGCACAGATATCACAGTCTAGCTGTCAACTACAACACAACATGTCAAATGTTCTTTTATGTGGGTACTCAGAAGAATAAGAAAATGATAACAGAGAGAAAACATACATATAAGCAAATACCAAAACAAGACACAAACATATATCCTGTATTCAGACAACATGATACCAACAAAACTGTAATAACAACTTTTGACACACAAATACATCAACTACTAAACAGAACATCAATATTAACAAGGGAAAACATAAATTTTAAAAATAGGCTAACTGGGGGGGAAAAGCCACCAGAATTAGGAGAGGAATCTGGGACAGAACAGCATAGGCAAATGGAAGGAAAATAGGACAGCAGAGATTATTAATGGATTCTGTGATTTCAATAGACATAATTATTAGGGAAATCATTTTTCCAGAGTAGAAATATGAGAATACATAGAGCTAACAAGAATCACATATAGAATTCTTGGTGCTCTGTTTCTCATTTCTTTCTTTTTTATTAAAAAAAGAGGGGAGGGGAGAGAGGGGGTGTAATTTTATCCTCCAGTAAAGCAGAATCTCTCAACCAATTCAAGCCAACTTTTCTGTCATCTACCGCAGCTCCTTTTTTCTCAATATTATTTATCTGTTGCTAATAATTGATCCTTTCCCATACAGGACTGAAGGTTTACACCACCCTGGTGTAGCCATTAGGTACCCCAATCATAAACTTTGGGGGTGAAAGGGGTATCTGGGCTTCACTGTGTCGTTATGCCATCCAGACTGAAATTTGTTTATCTCACAGTGTCAAACCTTGAGGCAGCAGTCCGTAGGGGAAAAGACAGATACAGATATTGATCAGTCTTGTGTCTTTAGGCCTCTCTCTTTCTCTCTCTCTCTCTCTCTCTCTCTCTCTCTCTCTCTCTCTCTCTCTCTCTCTCTCTGTGTTTATTCTGCCCCAAGAGTTCCATGGAAATAAATTTTCTAGTTTTACTTTGCAGCTGCATTTAAAATTCATCCTTCGTTAGAGCATAACATGCAAATGAAGAACTGATAAAGAAACCAAAATGTTCAATGCTGGCAAACGTTATTGAAGGAAGAATATTTACAGAATGTTTTGTGACACTTTGGCGAGGACAGTTCTCAGATGAACTGCAGATTGGAAAAATGGCAGAGATGACTTAAGGAAAGCTGGAGAAACCTGTAAAATGACATAAGATTATAGGCTAAAAAGCAGCATATAGTCAGCAATGGAGATCATGTGTGAATGCTTTATGTGTCAAAAGCAACATGGAAGATATACCACTAGATCACAATTATTATTATTACTTTTTTTTCTTTTGTTTAGTTCAAAATGTTGTTTTTACTAATCTAGAACTCAGTCATCCTATTAGTGCTGTCTCAGCTTCTTTAAAAAGCATCTTTCACTGTAAGGGGCATTTTCCTCTAATGGCTGGAGAACAACCCTGTTTGATCTGTGTTTAAGTGTTTAGTCTGCTCCCTTTCATTGTATTTTGCAACAACAACAAAAACACAAGCTAAATCTTATAACATATAATTGTCTCTACTTCTTGTGCTGTGTCCCTCAATTCTCTCTCTCGCTTTCTCTATCACACTCACTCATACGTACGCGAACACACACTTTTAATATTCAAAGCCCCAATGCTAGAGATTTTCCTAATTTAAATAACGTGTCAGTAATTCAGACTCATCCATTGTGCCATACTTCTAGAAAAATGACCTTTTTTCATCTTAGTTGAGTTGTTCATGCTGGTGTTACTGATCATAAATGTGAGTGAGTTCCCTTTTTTCTGTGCATAAAATGATGTCTACACCTGTTTGTGAATTGTTTGTTTCTTGATATAAAAGGTTTTCCTTTATCTGATCTGGAAAAAGGCCATTCACAACTGAAATCAATAAAAGAATCCTTTGTAAGCAAATCTTATAGTCTTAGACAGACACAAATTTCATACAGATGTTGTTATCATCATGTGCCTTGCCAAATGGTGTAAGCGATCATGCTTCTCCACACAGAGGGATTCTTCTTTTGTCTTCTTCATTTAGGTACGTCTGTATATGAGTGTGCAAGTATGAGAATGTGAGAGCATATATATATATATGTCTGTGAGTGTGTAAGATTGTGTACACATGATGTATGTATTATATTCTATAATGTATATTTTTATTCTATATCTATAACATGCATTTTAAATAACAGGCATTGGTACTCCGGAAAACGAGTGCTTAGAAGGGCCGAATG